CATTTTGTTAAATCACCAAATTTCTCTACACACATGAATTTTATACTGCACAACCTGAATGTCAGAAGTTTCCTTTCCCCATCCTACGATTTCCCAGGTTACTCGTAATACTTCAAATAATGTTTACTTTGCTTATTTAATTTTAGTTCATACCATACTTAATGCGTCATGCTTCAGTGCTTACTTAATCCATCATACTTCAGAAGTGCTTCCAACTGAGCCTTTTACAAGACAGCTGACCCAGTTAAACCACAGAATTTTAATGAGGTCCCAATGTAATTCTATTACTAATAAAGCCACCTGTAATGGTAGGTGGAAAGCTCAGTAGACAGGACGCAGAACTATAGATTGGACAGCTGGCATACAAAAGACATATCTCAGCCCACAGAAGGAACAGGAGCATGGGAAGCACCCTCACTAGTTTTCTGGAAAATAAAAGGAAAGGGAGGGGAGAAATACTTTCAGTCCTACAAGAGTCTGTTAATGTAACCTTATAATCAAGAAAGAGCTTAGACACCTGGTTGAACTTCTGGTCTGAGCTACTTTGAAGGGCTAGCATGCCTTCAACTGTTTCTTCATCTATATATATAAAAGCTAAATACTACTCCCACATCACGAAATCTCCAGAACAGTAAAGCCTACAGACTTGAAATTTGGCATGTATGTTTCTTGGCTTCTAGGTGCTCACTAAGAAAGGATTTTTTGAAATAACCATCAGATCATCAGTATTACTTATACGGTATTATATTAACACGTGCCCGTGCTAAGGAGTTAGACATTCTAATCCCGCATTCCAGTTGTGGATTCCTACCAGTTCGGACTGGTTAGGTCTAACCCAAAGTGGTTTGGCGGTCTGGGTCACTGGAACCGGCAATGACCCAGGCCTGTCACACTCCCAAACCGGTTCTCTGGGAGGTGCTGTAGGTGCTGCCATCTTGTTTTTTGTTTCTGCGCATGCACAGAGCAATTTTTTTTTAATAAATGTTTTTTAATTTTAGTTTAAAACGGGTACAGCATCTTTCTTTACATCTGTAGAA